CTATAAAAATCACATAATCGTTTCTGGACAGTGTTAAAATAAAAAAAATGAGTAAAATGCTGTTAGAACGAAATATTCAATATATGGTCTATTGTATATAATCGAAATGTGGCGAGTAAATATAATTTCACGATTATTGTACTGAATATTATAAAATATAATGTCACTAGTATTGTATTCAATATTATAACTGACATTTGATTGATAATGTGTTGTATTGAGCAGTTTTAAATTCGTTCGTAAAATGGAATAAAATTATTGACATGTTCTTCTTTTTGATAATGGTCTTGTGCGTGTTCAACAATATACTTGACGTCAGTAATTCTCTTTATAATGCGGAATGGACCATGATATCGAGGATCCAATTTCGAGCGACCCGATAATACTTTAATCCATACCATGTCATCTAATGTGTATGTTGGATGGGTTCGTCCTTTGTCGTATCGTAGCTTACTCAATTGTTGCTGTTGTTCAATGTTGACTTGAGCCGCATGAATGGCAACTTGCTTGAATTTGTTTGCTTTTTCCCAATAATCGTTTGGTTTTAACATCGTAATTTTTGATGATGGAAATTCAAACGGCGATATTAATCGACGATTGAATGCTAATTCATATGGGATGAAACCAGTTATAGAATGAATACTCGAATTATATGCCCAAACAATAGATTGCAAATAAATATCCCAATCATTGATGTTATCATGATAATATTTCTTGAGTTGATCACAAAAGGTTGAATTAAATCTTTCCACTTGGCCATTCGACATAGGATGGTATGGAATCGAAAATATTTGTTTACAGCCAGTTAATTGTGTTATTGCCGACAATAGTTCATTTCTGAAATGAGAACCTTGATCGGATTGTATACATCGAATTGCACCATGCTTCAATATAATATCTTCAAATAGCATCTCAGCAGCAGCTTTGGCATTTTCTGATGATAATGCCCGGGCAAAAACATATTTAGATAATCTATCAGTAATGATTAATACATATTGATTCCCATCAGACGATTGAATGGGTGCCTTCCAAAAATCCATCTGCATTAATTCAAACACACCCTCGGGTGGTGGCTCTTTTTGTAATAATCCAGGCTTCTTTCGTCGTTGTACATTGAATTGAGCACATTGTGTACAAGAACGAATATATTGTTTGACCGAATTCAACATTTGAAACCAATAAAATTTGTCC